TATAGACTTTCCCACGCATTTGATCATTTGTTTCTCTTTGTTTATCTTATTTTCCCATAAATCCAAGACCACAAAAACCAATTTCCATCTCCATTTTTTCCTTTTTTCTAGTTTCGATTGATTCCTAGTTTAACCACATAAGTCTTTGTGATCGACTCCGGTACTACGGTATCCGTATACTTGCGGATACATTGTGTTTCAGGTTATAAATTTAAAGCTCGTCACGCAAATGGTCAAATTCAAGCAAATCAAAAACTTTTTTGACTTTTAAAACAAACTCCAACATAGTATAGATGGAATTCCATTTGTTTCCACACCCAATTCAACACGTGTATTTGTAGAGAGTTTTGCTTCTCCAAACAACTTTTGAAGTGTTGGAATCTCATGGAAGAAGATCTTACATAATGAATTATTGAGCAGATTCGGCAAATAGAAGCATTTATATCATGCAAATCATCTTTCTCTAGTTATGATAACGCAAATCTAGGTATAGAAATAAGCTCTAGTAATAAAAAAATCTAGACACATCGAATACTGCAAGAGTACAGATCGACTGTAGTACCAAAGTCGAACACAGGGAATAGTTAACTCAGGAACAAGACTCGACCAAAAATCAGATCAGAAAATATCAGGAGAAGTAAACAAACTAAATAAAATCAGATAACTAAACCACCGTAACTTCGGGATTATCTTAACGTGCATGGATTGTTTCTAAGGATGGAGAATCTACGAACATCGAACTCTAATCGGGGACCTCGAGTTCTAATCTTAGATTAAATAATCTAATGCATTAACGATCTTTAAAGTCCTAAATCTACTATGTAATAATTCAATCTATCGATCTTTCAACCTAATATATTAAATAATCGAATGCATTAATGATCACTATCACGGTTCCTAAATCGATTAACCTATCTTTCAATAGTCTTAATCAATTTATTCAATGAATTCGTTCTGAATCTACTCTCAACTTTCATTGCAAATCAGAATATAAGATCAATCAATCAACTGACCACGAAGATTAAAAGTAATAAACTCAATTCAATCAACCGACGAGTCTCGATAACATAGTCTCGGAAAATAAAAACCAAACAAATCCCTACAAGGTTAAATCCTTAGCTACAGGAAATGACTATTTACTACCCATAACAAAAAACGAGTTCAAATCAATAAGAAGAAATATAGAAACATATAAAGAAGAAACTCGCAGCGATCTCTCGACGACGGTACGATCTGTGTCAATTCTCTGATCAAGTTTCTGCACCTCTGCACGGGCTGAACACGGGTGAATTGCATGCGACACGGCCGAGTTGAAGGATGACACGGTCCGTGCTGATTGTTTGAGCTAATTTCTTCGTTTCTCCACTTCTGCACGGTCATGTTTCAACTCGACATGGCCGTGTTCAGATGCAACTCGAGCTAGATACATCTTCTTCATCCCGTTCTGATCCCAATTGCTATGAATCTCATGTTTTTGCTCATTTGGTGTCTAAAAATGCATCTACTATCTGCTCAAACACCAAGGAATATAAAGGAAACAAAACCTAAACCTAAAATGATTCTAATTGTCTAATAATGCATAAAACCGATGCGAAAGTGATAGACAATGCATCCTAAAATAGAGAAGAAAATCATGTTATCAAGTTACTTGATAAAAATTGACGATTTTCTTCCATAACATCCAATCACTATCAATGAAATGTGTCGTACATATATATAGCTAAGATTCTGAGTGAATGTCCATAAATCTGTGATAAGGCAAATACCAACCGTGTAATTTTTGAAATCTTTTTCAGCTTATTCTTCATCTCCGTATACAGATTCAAACAATCATGAACTAAAGCCCTTCGAGACAGTATTGAAAACAAAAGTTGAAGCGCATGTGTATAATCTTCAAACCCTTTCTTTTCTATATGTCAAAAGATAACTCATCTATAATTATCATTCTTACCGAAGCCTTACGATACACATCCTGATCAAAATGCACATGAGAAAGGATACTATCGACTTCATCAACTTTTTTTTAATCGGTGATCCAAAGTTACTTGTTTTCTCGTCTTCTCTCTATGTTTCTCATCAGGTATATCACGTACTAAACGTGGAAAAATTTTCAATTGGTTAAGCATTGCATTAATGGTGCTACCTCTTTTTGTTCGACAACTAATCAATCCGGAACAATGATTGCATCTATCTTTCAATCCTTCATTTGTTTTTCCAAAATGATCCCAAACTGTGATCGAGGACTAGGTACCTGAGATCCAATGTTATCATCACTTGCCAGCATAGACACATGTTTTGTCTCCTCAATAATCGGGATTGAATTGTTGATATAGGCGTATTAATCCCTATCAGTTTTCTGTTACATACTCCACCTAAACAAAAAAAAAATCTAAAAGAACAACGAATCCACAAAATTTTATTCACTTATAAAGTAGAAATATGGTTAGACAAAAAAAAAGAATATATATTAATTAGCTAATTTAAAATTCTAGCATCAGCTGATTATTCAAATAGTAAAAGTCAAAATAATCCGAGATACGTCTGATAAGATTAAAAAAACTAGAAGTTTCGGATTAAATTCCTAAAACTCGTGATAGATAGGAGAGAATGAATCGAAATTCAATACAAACGGATTGATTGATTGAATACACTATTCTTCTTTCGCTCCGGATTAATCGCGCTTTCCATAGTTTCACCCTCTTTTGAGGCCATCAATAGATTTCTCAGCCGAATCAGACGAGTTCTCTCTTACTGAATCAAACCCACAACTATCCACACAAATCGACAAATATTGCGGTGTGGATCCAATAAAAAAGGGAAAATGTTTAAAAACAAAGAACAATTCGACGAATAAAAGATTAGGTAGAGACTGTACCTTTAGACCCAAAGATCTGCAACAACAAGAACGAGAGAGAAGGTGAGAGAGTCGATTAAAATCTATGATAGAGAGAGAAAGAAAAGAAGGAGGAAGGAACATACTTACGGAGAGTTGCAACTCTTGGAGAAAAAAATCCTAACATATTTTTTATTTTTTACAAAGTTAGCCTGACATATAAACTAATTACCAAATTAACCTTATATTATTAATATTACTAAAAAAATACGGATCATATCAGATATTCGAATAATTTTATTTTGATATCCGTATCCGACAAATATTTTTGAAACCAATATCCATATTCGATCTCTAAACTCCAGATATCCAAATTTTCTGTTCGGATACTAATCGAATAACTGATCGAATCGATTTTTCGGATGTTATACTCACCCCTTCTTAAAGTTTTTACTTTCAACACTATATGATTAAATACTTTTATTTTTATTACTTTATGAAATATATCCATTTTATGTTAAAACTAAGAAAACGACTAATTCTGTCGTTACCACCCGCAAACATACTAATTATGATTTTTAGCAATTGTGGATGATTGGAAAATTGATTGACTAAACCGCAATTAATCGCAACCGTAACAAAAAACTAAATTTCTAATCGCAATTTTATATTTGCGTTTCGTTAGTGTATTGTGTCGTTTGATTAAAAATACCAAAATATCTTTTTTTTTAAATCCAATATTTTTTAATAATAAAATTACTTTTTAATAATTTACATTAATTCTGTAGTCAACCGTTTACTTCTAACCGCAATCATTTTCTACAATAACTTATCAATCAATTAATATTAATCATCTAAAATCACTAAAAAAATGCAGTGACAACACTACCAAGTGTAATCGTAACCGCAACGGTATAATCAGTTAGACCCTAAGACGAAAGTTCGATCGGCCCGAACACGAGAGCTGGCCTACTTTTGTAACCTTTTGGTCACCAACCAAAAAGGACAACAACTCTTCAATAATCCCCAATCTTCAACATCACTCACTACTTACATTTTCTAAAAACAAAATCAAATAAATATAATCAAATACTGATAAATTCCGTATTTCTGATTTTCTGATGTGATGTCTATGTCTTCAAGTTGTTAACAAAAGTAATATAGAAGTTTCTTCAATCTTCATCTTTGTGTTCCTTCTGGCATCATTCCTTGAGTTTCTTGGAACTTTGGAATTATTTTTGATAATTTGGTAAAAGTAATTGATTATTTCGCATGTAAAACCATTTCCTTTTTAGTAGCTTTTTATGGTTTGCAAATTCATTTTATCCTTTATGGTTGTAAGATTTAATATTTATATTTTAGATTTGAAATAGATTCTTTTAATTTATAGTTTCAAATATGTATAGTTTCAAATATTACTTAAAATATATGGTAATCTGTTAAATCTTTTTTTTTATGTATATCGTATCCTTGTTGACAAAACTCTGAATTATAATTTGATATTACAGTGGAATCGTCAATTCCATGGCTAATTGGATAGAGAAAAATAATTCTCTTTTTACATATAATAATTTATTTTTGTATTTCTACGCTGAAAGTGTATCTTTTATGGCATACAGCAATATAAAACATTCATTTAATATAAAGTGCTGTATTCTCCTCCACGGTTATTACCTTTGGAAAATCCCAAAAGAAATGTAGAATGACTACTTTGATTTAAATATCGATGATATAGTAAATTAAAATTAATTATATTTTTAATTAGAGGATGAACAAAATTCATAATGTAGTATTTTCTTGCTTTCAGTGAATGTACTTTTATGTGTTTCTAGAAATCAAGAGGTCGAATTATATTTATTTATTTTTTTTGTAGTATATTATTTCCATATTACCTACTCATTTAATGAAATGTCAAAATAGCAAATCCGTGGGGACAGCAGCTGCTCTCAATTTCAACATCCTATACTAAAAAACTGAAGAAATATAAAATTTAAAAATTAAAATTAAAGAATGTATAACAATAAGGAATTGATAGGATCATATGCCAATGTTTTTCAAAGATCCATCCATACAATTATATAAATATATAAAATAATGTGATTCTCGACTAAGTATAAGACTACAAGGGAAAACAACTTAGACTTCTCACTCGCAATTTCCCATTTCCACCAATTTTCTATTCATAACCATAACAAAGCCTCTCTTCTTCTTCTTCATCATCCTTCTTTACTCTTTACATGTTTCTCAAAGGAAATATCATTTGAACATACACTCAAAAGTTCATATGGATTCCATACTCAACATTTTCATCATCTTTCTTTGACCAAAACCCATAATTTTCGCCGAAAAGAAGAGAGAAAATAGTCTTTTAGGAGATGGGAAGAGCACCTTGTTGTGATAAGGCCAATGTGAAGAAAGGCCCATGGTCTCCTGAAGAAGATGCTAAGCTCAAATCCTACATAGAGAAGCACGGCACAGGCGGTAATTGGATCGCTTTGCCTCAGAAGATCGGTAATCCACGCATCAAATATACGTCAATAACCTCATTATATTCTTTTATTCGTCAAATTTCTTGTTTTTCATGAGAGAAGAGCGAATATTGTAGTTGCATGATATATGCTCTTAGTTTGTATAACTTTGTATGTGATGATTTAGGGTTAAGGAGGTGTGGAAAGAGTTGCCGCCTTAGATGGTTAAACTATCTAAGGCCAAATATAAGGCATGGAGGATTCTCTGAGGAGGAAGATAACATTATTTGCAGCCTCTACATTAGCATTGGAAGCAGGTAAAGATATTTGTGTATCCACAAACATTATATCGACTATATGAACTTTTTATGAGAATATATATATGTGTGTGTGTGTGCGCGCGCGCATATTTGGTTAGGTGGTCCACAATTGCATCAAAATTATCGGGAAGAACGGATAACGATATCAAGAATTACTGGAACACGAGGCTGAAGAAGAAATTCCTCAGTGGCCAATTGAACGGAAACTGTGCCAAAAGAGACGACTGCGATTACATGAGCATGATGAAGCAAGAAGTGAACGAAGATGCCATGGCTACTTCTTTGGTCACTAGCAGCCATGACACTCATCATCATGGCCAAAACCTTAATTGTTCATTGGAAGTGCCTTACAATCTCCCAAACCAATCTTCATCTCTCAAAGATTTTATTCTCGAGCTCGATGGAAGATTCTCCAATGGAGAAGAAGACGGGCGAGGAACAACGTCGGGAAATAACAGCTTCGCTTTGCAACAGTTGCCTTCTTCCTCACTCTCAGCCTCGTCCATCGAATATACAACACCTCAGGCAATGTTACAAACCGAATTTGGAACCAAACATAGCGAGACGGGTTTTCAGACGGCGTCACGGCAAAGCGAGTACAACTACGACGACGGGTTAATGTTTTCGTACACAATGACTTGCGGAGAAAGTAATATGGGTTCTTGGAGTTACATTGCTTCTCTAATGGCTCTCACTCCTTCCTGCTACTCAGATGACTACAACCTTACTATGCAACCAGAGTTGTAATTATCAAAGTCGCAGTTGTAGTGTTATTGTGTCTTTTGCTTGCATGTGTGTGTGTAATTGAGCATGTCGGAATTCCTATTTGTTTCATGCTTCTGTAGATATGAACTAATTAAGGTTTTAGGTCTAATTAAGGCTTGTAATTTTTCGGGATGAAAACTGTTTGACAAAAAAAACTTTCAAAAATTCATTTGAACATTTTTTTTTTGTGTGTTGGCATTAAAAAATGTTCAAAAAATATGTTCATGAAAAAATTCAAAAATTCGTTATCCTTGAAGAGCTGCTTTATACTTTTTGTCAAAATAGTCAAACCAAGTCATATTTTATTTATCATCTAACGAATTATAGCGGACTTTTACGTCTTTACTAAAATTTTGTCGTAATAAAAAAAGTCAAAAATTTTAAAAATATAAGAATTTATCTTATATTATATAATTTACATATTGTTTTTAGCAAAATGGTATTTTATTTCAACTGTGCACAACTTATATCTTCACCACACATTTCAACATTTTGTTCGACTTTTACCGGTTCAACTGAAAGAGCCCCGAGCAGAACACATGTAGATAGACATCAAAGAGCAAAATGTAAAAGACTTGGATGTCAATTCAGCATACTTCTCAGAACTCGTAGGCCACATCATATTTCAAGAATCAAATGTGCACTTAACTGAATGAAATATAACTTATCTCTGCAACAAGAACATGTGCTATACAGGAAATCCATCCATCTATACTGGATAATGGATATAAGTCAAGAACAGACAACAACTAGATGGGAAAATGACATATATGTTACCTTGCACTCTACTGAATGCCTCTATCGTGCGACCTGATCATAAAAACCAGGTTACAAGTTAGAACATGGAATATTTGCTTGAACTTCCATGAACAAGTCGTCTATATATATATATATTGCAATTGTTTTGGGCATTGGCTAGGTATCATTTTCATGAAGTAAGTAAGATACAAGACAGAAACCAAACTACACAGATTGTTTAAAATAAATTCAACTAAAAATGATTCTCTGAAAAGAATATACCTTTCTGAAATAATTAATTAATTAATTAACATATGGGTGCATTTTCGGATTTTCCCTACCAAGGTGTGGTGACACTAATCGAACAAAACTTCTTTTTAAAAAAATGTAAAAATATCTGATTATCTATTCCTTGGTTACATTTGTTATATATCTGTAACGTTATTTAATTTTATAGTTAAACATCGACCATAAATAGAATAAAACGGAATTACATAAACCATAGTAATTTTATTTCGGATAAAGGGAGGTACTGCAAACACCTAATTTTTTTCTAAGGGATTTTTCAAAATAACTTATGGAGAAATATTTTTTTTGGTGTAATAACTAATTTTATGCTTTAATAAATCACGAAGAATAAGATATATATATATATATATATATGTATATATATGTATATATTAGTATTTAAATCAATGGTCCACATAATTCGGACTGAAAAAAATGAGAGAAAATTCTTTCTTAACGAGCATTTTTCAAGATAAAAAAAATATATAATGGGCCGAAGCTAGTAGACCCATTTTTCATCCAGCAAAGGCCCAAAAGCCCATTCAGGGTATAAAAGAATCAGAATCAAGAAAGTTTCCAATGTATATAAAAATAATATTTTATTCCATGTCTACAAATAATATTTGAATGAATGAAAGAATATACAACTTGATGAACACATTCAAACAAGACCCTTCACTGGATCCCAAAAAAAAAAAACAGGACTTTTACTCCAACCTGGTTTCTTCCAGAATCAGAGTGAAAAAAAAAAACTTTTTTTTGGTAGGAAAAAAAAAAACCTTATCAAGAACCCTGAAAACTTCTCAGCGCTCTGCTTCATAGTTACCAGAAGATAGCTTGGAAACCCATTTGTTGATAAGAGATCTCCTCCTTGAATCCCACATGGTTCTCTTCAATGGCTTCCCTCCATTGTGCATCTCCATTGCCTCTACGAAACCTTTGACGCGGTTCATGGCCACTCCGAGCGTTTTCTCCGACATATTCGCGAAACAAACCCTGAACCATCCAGGCTCGTCGCAATGGCAAGACGCCCCGGGAGAGATATTCAGACCAACTTCGCATACGATCTTTGTCCAGAGCTCGTTCTCGGCTTCGAAGGTGTTCGATTTCAGAAGATGCCTCATGTCTACCCAACAGAACAAACCTGCATTGCCCTTCAAGCAACTGATCCCTGCCCTTTTCAGACCGGACACCATCATGTCTCTCCTCTCTCTCAGCCTCTTTCGATTCTCCTCCAGGTAGTTGTTTGTGAACTTCTCGTCGCCGAGCATGTTTGCAAGCAAATGCTGAGTTTGGGAAGAGATGAGCCCGAAACTCGACATTTTCGTGGCAGCCGAGATGACTTTCTCGTCGTTCGAGTAAATCATCCCGACGCGAAAACCGGGCAGACCGAGATCCTTGGACAAGCTGTAAACGACATGGATTTGTTTCCATGTATCCTTGTCCAAATCCATGTTCTTGTCAGTTGCAGCTTCTAGAATGCTAGTGAACTCGGGCGAGTCAAACACCGTCCCCGAGTAGATTTCATCGCTTACCATATGGATTTTCTTCGAGGCGGTGAAGGTTAGAAGCAAGTCGAGCTCTTCTCGTGTTGCGGATGTCCCTAGAGGGTTCGAAGGATTCGTTATAAGCACTCCTTTAACCTTCAAGCCACGTTTCTGAGCACGTTCATATGCGTCTTCCAACGCATCCCCAGTGATCTTGTAGCCGTTTGAGCTTGAACAATGGATAGGAACGATTTCCACTCCCGTTCTCCATTTCAGATCTCTATCAAACCTTCAAAACATAACCGAAAAACAAACTTTTTAGCCAAAAAAAACCGTGGCAATATCATTACAAAGACATAAACTGAAGAGGGTATTATGATTCTGTATCTTGAGTTTGGTTTGTTTGTTGTTTTGTTTACTAGATTTGTATTTAAGGAATAATAAAACGAGAAATTTTGTTTCGATATTTCGATATGAAACTACCTACCCGGGATAGTACGGCGCGGGGAGAAGGAAGGCGTCCCCGGGATCAGCGAGGCAAAACATCAGAGTCTCGTTAGCTGAGGTTGAACCAGCAGTGAGGACGATCTTTGTTGGGTCGAATTTCACTTTGTTATCTCTGATTTTCGCCATGAATTTCGCCATGGCCTGCGTCGTTACACGACGTGGGTTAGTCCGATATGATTTCAATCATCATAATCACTTAGCTTAAGAACTATGCATATTGAAGATGTATATTTGGATCACTCACATCCTTGAAAGCAGGCAAGCCATGGTAATCTTGGAAGAGAGCTAACTCTCTAAACACGGATTCTTCCTTCTTCGACTTCAACCCCAACACCTCGGGATGTTCATCAAGCCACGACTCTATAAAGTCGAACGAAAGCTGCGAAAAGAGACGATGCAATCAATCTCTATATATCACACAACAAAAAGCCGGTCCATATATATATGTGTAACGAAGCATATCGATCATATGATATAAGTTATTATATATATATATATATATATATATATATATATATATATATA